AAAAAAAAAAAAAAAGTGAAAAGGAGGGCTGGGAATGTGGCTTAGTGGTAGAGTGCTTGCCTAGCATGCATGAAGCCCTGGGTTCAATTCCTCAGCACAGAAGAAGCCAGAAGTGGTGTGGTGGCTCAAGTGGCAGAGTGCTAGCTTTGAGCAAATGGAGTTCAGGAACGGTGTCCAGGCCCTGAGTTCAAGCCCCAGGACTGGCAATCAATTAATCAATCAATCAATAAGGAAGGGAGGGAGGGAAGAAGGAAGGGAGGGAGGGAAAAACAAAACCCAACTAGAACAGAGAAAGGAAACATGAGGCCTTGTGAAGTCTAATTTGACACAGCCGTAGCCAGGGTGGCAAAGCCCCTAGATCCTCTGCAGGCCCTGGAGGTCAGAATCCCTCCTCACCACACCTTATTTCATGCTAGACCTCCACACCCCCCCCCAGATGCTGAGTAACAGACCCCCTGGTCTCAGCTCTTCACCCTCATTCCGAGCAGAAGTGCGGGGACTCCCCTGGAGTTCCTGTCTGCTGGAGTACAAGCAGAGATGCCGCTGGACCCATGACTACTGCAATGCAGCCCCCTTCTTCCCTCCCCTCTCCCCCCCTCCACCATTAGCCTCATGAAAAGGGAGGTTCCCAGTGCATCTCAGGGACGGGCTGGCCTTTCCACAGCCTAGGTCACCGAGGGACCCCACTGACCAACTGCCAAGAAACTCGCCCTCCTTGAGGGCTCTTGGAGAGATGGGGTCGACAGGGACCAGGAGACCTCTGCCTATCTGGGATGGAACGGGGACTCCCCTCTACCACTGGGCTCTGTTTGCCTCAGTTTCTCCCCTCAGCACTGGGAGAGGGTCGAGTGGATGTCTCTGGTTTCTGATTTAAGGTGGCTGAGGATGTGGTTCCTGGGACTCCGTGGGGAGGTTAAGCCCCAGACCCAGCCTGAGCCTCAGTCTCCCCCACCTGCCAGTGGCCTGCACTGTCTGAGGACCCTGGGTGGTCACAATGGTCCTGATTACTCACAAATGTAGTAGTACTCGTGGCCAGGACGGAACTCAAAACCCAGAGAGAAGGGCGTGAAGAGCTGGAATTTCTCGGAGAACTTGAGTGGCCCGCCGGGCGCTGCGGGCCGGTTGCACTCCCAGCGCTTGAAGCCACGCTGCCGATGGTCACAGGATGCGTGACCCTCGCCGTTGACCATGTACAGCACGTAGTGCTCCATGCGGTCCGCTGGTGGCAGAGGGGCCCCGTAGTGTGGGCAGTAGATATCCAGATAGTCGTTGATGCTCACCTCCACCGTGTAGCCTCCGCCGTCGCCCGCCACGCCCATGTGGAACCTGCCAGGGGACAGGCGGCTGGTCAGTGGACACAGAGAACAGAATCGGGGAACCCTCAGCTACTTATGGGCTCCTGGTCAGTGTCCATAGAGCCTAGTATCAGCTTCCTTTCCAGCCAGCTCTAGAGCTCAATGTCTCCAACGCCAGCCTGTTTTGCCCCGGCCCCCTCCGTCCACTCCCTTCCAGGCCCCACCCTTGTCCAGCTCAGTGCCCTGAATGAGACAAGCACTGGGGCTCACACCTGTAATCCTAACCACACAGGATGCTGGGACGTGAGGATGGACGTTCAAAGCCAGCTCAGGCAGGAAGGTCCATGACCCTATCTCCAACTGACCACCAAAAAGTTGGAAGTGGAGCTGTGAATCAAGTGGTAAAGCCAGCCTTGAATGAAAAAAAGCTCAGGGAAAAACACCCAGGCCCTGAGTTCAAGCCCCAATATTAGGACAAGTGCGTGCGTGTTCTCACATGCATGCGTGCACAGACAAGCACGCATGCACGCACACACACGCACATACACACCTTTTGAATGTGGATAGACTCCAGTGCCCTTTCTGTATTGGGACCCCGGCGTGTCTCTCACCCTCTCTGAACATCTCTCCAACCCTGAGACCCCAAGTTGTCCTTCACTTTCAAGCCCCTGGATTTGGAAGCTTCATCCTGGATACCAATGGTCCCCCGCCCCACAGCTGCCCAGCCTCCAGCTTCTACCCTGGAGGTTGCTTGCCCAACCTTCCCGCAGCCCGGGAGCCCCGTCCTCCCTCAGCGGCCCTGACCCACACTCATCTTGGAGGACGGAGGTCAGCTGGGGGCTGCACTGCATGGAGGCTCCCCTTCCATCCCTGCCTCCGGCTACAGCGGCAGAGCTCTCAGATCTCCCGGCTGTCCCCCGAGCCCTGTCATGTAACCGCTGGCTGGCCAGGGGGCCAAGGGACGCCCTGTAGAACCTCATTAGCACATAAAAGACCTGCCAGCCACTCTGCTTGGCCTCCTCCCTGCACAGATGGGAAACTGAGGCCTAGCCAGGGCTGGTAGGGGGTGGAGGATGACACTCTGACCCCAGCCCTTCCTGGACAGCATGCTGGTGTGCTAGTAGCCTGTAACTGGTAGAGTCTGGGGCGCCGAGAGCCTCATAGTGCTGGACTAAAGCTCAGCTCTTCAGAGCCTGTTTCCTTACTCTGCAGGGGACTGTGGAAAGGCCTGTGATATGTCTGAGGTTAGGTGCAGGTTCTAAGAGGACAAGCTTATCTGGGAGCCGGTGGCTCACGCCTGTAATCCTAGCTACTCCGGAGGCTGAGATCTTAGGAGCACAATTCAAAGCCTGCCCAGTCAGGAAAGTCCAGGAGACCAAAAGGCTGGAAGTGGAGCTGTGGCTCAAAAGTAATAGGGTGCTAGCCTGGAGCAGAAAAGCCAAGGGACAGTGCCCAGACCCTGAGTATCTCATAATCAATCAATCAATATAAAAGGACAGGCTGAGATTTCACCTCATTTGGGCTAGGGTATCCTCCAGACCTCACCAGAGTTACTGAGGTTTTCTTTTTTTGTTGATACTGAGACTTAAACTCAGGGCCTGGGCACTGGTCCCTGTGAGCTTTTTTAGTCAAGGCTGTGTTCTACCACTTGAGCCACAGCTCCACTTCCAGCTTTTTGGTAGTTAACGGGAGATAAGAGTCTCACAGACTTTTCTCCTGGGTTGGCTTTAAACTGTGATCCTCAGATCTCAGCTTCCTGAGTAGACGCCATTACAGCATGAACTACTGGCACCTATCCTGAGGGTTTGTTGTTGTTGTTTTAATTTTATTATCAAGGTGATATACAGAGGAGTTACAGTTACATATGTAACTGTAAAATTGATCACATATGATTCTTCAGCATTTTTGCTTTTTTTATTTTGCAGGTCCTGGGACTTGAACTCAGGGTCTGGGCACTGTCCCTGAGCTTCTTTGTGCTCAAGGCTAGTGTTCTACCATTTCAGCTACAGCGCCACTTCCTGAGGTTTCTGTAAGAATGAAAAGTCTCATTGCTCTCTAGCAGCGTGGAATTCAAATATTCCCTTTGACCCTCAATTTAACTCATTCCCATAAATATCAACACTCACCCAAAGAGAACCTGGTTGTGAAGGGCCCTCTAGAAATAGATCTTGAAGTCAAGGCCAGTGTCCCTCCCATTCCCACCTGTGTTCCTATGATGTCTGTGTCTGACACCGGAATGTTCTTTCTTTCCCATTTGGAGGCAGAGTCTGCCCTGACGACTTAGAGGGGCTCTACAAGGTCTTCCTAGGGCAGCAAGGGCCCGCCAGGCTCCTGATCTCGCAAAATTCATACAAGTTGCAGGGCGCCAGCTCATACCTGTCATCCTAGCTACTCAGGAGGCCAAGATCTGAAGATCACAGTTCAAAGCCAGTTCCTGTAGGAAAGGCTATGAGACTCTTATTTCAAGTTCACACACACACACACACACACACACACGGCCAGCATCCAGGCCCTGAGTTCAAGCCCCATGATGGACTACACACACACAAATTCCAAACAAAGTGGATTTCCAGATTGTGTCCAGCTGGTTCAAAATCTTCCATTTCTCCTCAATGCTCAAAACACAATCCAAGGTCCTCACTGGCCCATGTAGCCAATGTCCCATTCTCAGGGTCTTATCTCCCACAACTTAGTCCCTTCCAGCTCAATCAGCCTTGGTTCCCCTACCCAAGGGCCCTGGCACATTCTGCTTCCATGGTCTAGAAAACTTCTCCATTCCCCAATATGACAATTTGTGTGTGTGTGTGTCTGTGTGTGTGTCTGTGTTGGTACTGGGGCTTAAACAAAGCCTGGGCTCAGTCCCTGAGCTTTTTTACTCAAGGCTGGTACTCTACCATTTGAACCCTCCTCCACTTGTAGACTTCTGCTGGTTATTGGAGATAAGAGTCTCATGGACTTTCCTGCCCAGGTTGTCTTCAAACTGTGATCCTCAGATCTCAACCTCCTGAGTAGCAAAGATTACAGACTTGAGCCATCCATGCCAGGCTTCCCAATAGCATTTCTACACCCTCACATCTGCCCACCCCTCTGATATAACAGCGCTCAATACTTGCTTGTTGAGCTGGGAAGGTGGCTCAGTGGTAGAGCGCTTACCTTGTATGCATGAGGCCCTGGGTTCGATTCCTCAGCACCACAAAAGCAAAAAGCTGGAAGTGGCGCTGTGGCTCAAGTGGTAGAGTGCTAGCCCTGAGCTGAAGAGCTGAGGGACAGCGCCCAGGCCCAGAGTTCAGGCCCCACGACCGGACCCACCCCCCCAAAAAAAATACTTGCTTGTTGAGTTAAAAGGCCATTTTTTTTTTTTTTGCTTTCATTTTGTTGGTCAGGAGGCTTAAACTCTGGACCTGGGCGCTGTCCCTCAGCTCTTCAGCTCAAGGTGAGCGTTGTAGCACTTGAACCACTGTGCCACTTCCAGTTTTCTGAGTGGTTTATTGGAGACATGAGTCTTACGGACCTTCCTGCCCTGGCTGGCTTTGAACCTCGATCCTCAGCTCTCAGCCTCCTGAGTAGCTAGGATTACAGGTGTGAGCCACCGGCGCCCGGCTTAAGGCCAATGTTTTGAAGAGTTAGGAGTTGCAGGTAGCACCCCAGGCAGGTTGGTCCTTGGGGACGCCCTCTCCCCACACCGTGCTGGCCGCCTGAGCCGGCCTTTTTTTTTCCCCCTTCCTGACTCTAAAATAGCGACGGCCTTGCTGTGTTGGCATTCCCGGTTCCAAGTTGGCAGCTGAGCCAGGGGCGGGCAGGCGCCTTACCCCTGCTCAGGGTGGCGCCTACATAGAAGGACACAGAGAGGGGTTCTCCACCCCAAAACCCATTCTGGTGTGAGCAAAAGAAAGCTTTGTCGGGCTCAATCAACCTGGATATGCAAATGCTAGTGGAGATTCTCACTAAGGGGTTAATGACTGATTTGAGATCTCTTATTTCCAACAGGGCCTTCCCTACAAGCTCCTCATACCTATTCTGCCAGGGTCAGTGTCCATACTGGGACAGCACCCTCCCTTCCAGAGTCCCTGGGGCTCTGTACCTCACCCTCCTCAGGCCACCCCAACCTTACCCCTGCCTCCTCCTGGGTACCACCCGGCCCGCAGCTAATGAACTTCAATCTCTGCCTGTGAAGTCATTAAACACTAATAGCAAAGCAACTAATTAGGAGTCTCGCCCAAAACTGGAATGGGGGTGAACGGGGCCACCTTCCCAGATTGGGAACTGAGGCACCACACACTGCTGGGGCCGGTGACCAGGGTCCCCCGCTGGTGGGTGGTGCACTCCGATCCCCCACGGCACCCAGCAAGTCGTATATGGACTGCTGTGTGTTCATCCCTGGGTGGGGTGAGACACTGTAAAGGATCCATGTGGGCCCAAGAGTAGGGTCCCGATGCCACGTTGGGACATACCCAACCCCAAGTTTTAAGGAGCTGAAGACAAATCCTCCATCTTAGTCTGGCCAGGATGCCAACTGTAATAAAAAACCTCCAGAGGGTCCAAGACGAGGCTGAGTAAAGAGGATAATGGTTTTAAAAAAAAAAAAAAAGGTAAAGAAAGGTAAACTGAGGCCAGGGCATCAGTGCCAAAACATTGGAGGAGACAGGGCGGTAGCTCAATAGTGAGTGCTTGCCTAGCATGAGCGGAGCTCCAGGTTCATCCCTAGCATCATGAGAAAAAAAAAAAAAAGGAGAAAAGAAAAGAAAGAAAAAAGAGAGAAATCGACTAGGTGAGAACAAAATGCCAGCGGCAGGCTCAGAGACAGGGGTGGCCAAGGGGCAGGCCAAGAAGGTATGCTGTCCTCGGTTACCTCTCTCATGAAACCAGCTTGTCCTCGACCCTCCTTGGCCAGTGCAAGGACCCCGAGCCCCCCCCCCCGCCCCAACAGCCAGTGTTTCTGGTGGCCCTGTATGACCCACTGTCTCTCACAGCTGCTTTGTCCTTGAAATGGGGGCGCAGGCCCCAGGATAGGTGGGTTGGGGGACATAGAGCAATCACTCAAGGAGACCAGGAAACAGTGGGCACATAGGCTGAAGTCCCCCACTCTGATAGGACACAGGCTCAGGAGAGGGGCCGAATCCCCATCAGCACGGCTGCCCACAGAGTTCAAACGTCTGCTTGAGGTTAAATCAAAAATCCCCCAGGCTGGTCGGCTGGCCTGTGCTGGCCTTTAAACTGTATGTCTAGAACAGTGTCTGCATGGTGGTAGGGGCAAGCCTGGGATACGGCTCTGTCCCTTTCCCCAGCATGGCCCTACCAGCTACGAGACACATTAGAACATTCTTCTCCCTGCATTCACAGAGAAAACATCCCTGCAAAACAGCGACATTGAGTTGGGAGCCAGTGGTTCATGCCTTCATCCTAGCTACTCAGGACGCTGAGATCTGAGGATGGTGATTCTAAGTCAGCCCGAGCAGGAAAAGCCCACGAGACTCTTATGTCGTTATCAAGCAAAAAGCCGGAAGTAGTATTGTGGCTCAAGTAGCAAATTGCTGGCCTTGAATGAAAAAGCTCAGGGGCAGCGCCCAGGCCCCTGAGTTCAAGCCTTAGTACTGGTACAAAAATAATTAATTAATTAAAACAAGAACAGCAACATTGGACACCGCTCTGATGGCTCCATTTCCAGGAGAGGGGGGCCACTGTCAGAATAGGATGGAGGCGTGGAATGCCAGAAGGAAGCTCCCAGCCCCACTGGAAACTGTCACCCAGGTCCTGCTGTATACCTGCCATTCCATTCCCAGACCTCCCTGCCAAGACCCGAGAGGTCCCCTGCAGGCTCACCAGGGGATGAGCACTGGGCAGAAAGAGGCCA